TCTAAAATGTCTTAATATCTTCTGGCATTAAGATGACCCTTCAGTGGAACAAAGATGTCTAGACCAAACCCTAAAAAAGCAGTCCCATGCTATTAATCCTTCATCACCAATCTTTGCAAAAGGCACTGTTCATTTCAGGTACATGACATTCTCTTGGCATCCACAACACCCAGCTTCTTCCATCAGACTGCTATATATATCTAAAAATATCCAAATGCTTGCACTCCTGGTATAGTAAAATTAAGCCGGGTGCTTGTTGGCAATCATAATAGAACAAAATAGTAGAAAATAGCACTCCAGGGACTTCATAGGTATGATGAAAAAAAAATAACTTCGCTTTATTCAGCAACTGCCACAAAGTATCAACGTTTCAGTTCTTGTGCAGAATATATTTAACCCTTTAGTGATCAGACCGCTTTTCGATTTTCTTACCGTTTGGGACCAGGGCTGTTTTTACATTTCTGCTGTGTTTGTGTTTAGCTGTAATTTTCCTCTTACTTGTTTACTGTACCCACACATACTATATACCATTTATCTCGCCATTAAATGATCTTTCTAAAGATACCATTATTTTCATCATATCATATAATGTACTATAAACAAAATTATAAAATATGATGAAATTCTTTTTAAAAAACACACCTTTTCTAACTTTGACCCCCAAAATCTGTTACGCATCTACAACCGCCAAATAACACCCATGCTAAATAGTTTCTACATTTTGTCCTGCGTTTATAAATACCCAATGTTAACATGTTCTTTTTGGAAAGTTATAGGGCTGTAGCACTTTGCTATTTCAAAACCATTTTTTTTTTCAAAATTAACCAAAGTTTCATTGTAACACTGATATCTATCAGGAATATCTGAATAACCCTTCACCTGTATATATTTTTTTTAAACCTGGGGTATTTTGACTCTTTTCATTGAACCATTTTACCACAAATCTATGCCAAATTTTAAAAAAAGAATAGGTAATTTTTTGACACACATAGCAATTTAAGAATACATGTACTGAGAACTTTAAGGGTTACTTCCAAAGAACACCCCAATATGTGTTCAGCAAATCTCCCGAGTACAGTGATACATGCCATGTATAGGTGTGTCGGGTTCTCTGGGGGCTAAAAGACCTTATTTGTTGGGTGCGCATTCCAGTTTTCCAACTTGGAATTTTCACAGCTGCACCCATTTCCTATTTGGGACATTTTTAAAGCTGACCAACGTAATTTACCCCCATCAAACCATATATTTTTGAAAAGTAGACAACCCAGGGTATTCAATATGGGGTATGTCTAGTCTTTTTAGTAGCCACTTAGTCACAAACACTGGCCAAAGTTAGCATTTATATTTGTGTGTTAAAAATGCAAAAAACAATTATGAAAACTAACTTTGGCTAGTGTTTGTGACTACTAAAGTGGCTACTAAAAAAAACTGAACATACCTCATTTGCAATACCTTGGGTTGTCTTCTTTTGGAAATGGTATACCAACATCGGGGTAATTGTCATTTCTGGGCTACCATACGGTCTCAAAGGCAACATAACCAGACTGGCAAATTTCAATGTGAAAAAAATGGCCTTATATCTGACCCTGTAAATTTTGAAAAAAACACTATAAAACCTGTACATGGGGGTTCTGTTGTACTCAGGAGACAAATAGTGTTTCAAAAATGTAAAATGTATCACAACAATGATCATCAGTGAAAGTGCCATTTGTGTGTGAAAAAGTCAAAAAACTTCACTTTCACTGACAATATCAACGCTGTGATATGTTTCACAAGTCCCCCTCGGCTTATACTCGAGTCAGGGTCTGTATTATGGCAACTTACATTAGACACTCGCTCTGCAGAAGGGGCAAAATCAGGGTGGCTTGGGCTCTCCTACTAGGGGGTTGGGGATCTGGGCCAGCTGCCCAGCGGCCCTGTACTCCAGGGGGTAGAGACCACGGTCCCATCCACCTCTCCCGTGCCAAAAGTCTCGGGGACTTGTGGACAGAGACCAGCAGTGCTCTGCCCTGATGTCAGCTCTTCTGCTGGGTCAGCACTCAGCTGCTGGGAAGAGAGACCGACTGTCTCTATTTCCTGGAATTCCTGCTGCGGTTGGGAATCTGGTAGGGCCACCCAGTATCCCTGTAGAGTTGGTGCAGAGACCTCGGTCCCATCTGCACCATCCGCTCCAGTTGTCTGGTCTCCTGATAACAGATACTGCAATTGGAAGAGGAACCGGTTGTCTCCTCTCCCTTTAAACCATACTGCCACTGGGGAGTCGGACCAACTGTCTCGACTCCCGGTAATGCTGGCTGGTGCTAAGTAGTGGGACCAACCATCTCCACTCCCAGTGCTGCTGGCTGCTGCTGGGACGAAGGACCTACAAACTCCTCTCCCAGTAACGCTAGCTGCCGCTGGGGAGAAAGAACGGTTGTCTCTACTCCCTTTAAATTATGCTGCCAGTGGGGAATCGGACCAACTGTCTCGACTCCCGGTAAGCTTCCTGGTGCTGGGTAGTGGGATCGACCGTCTCCACTGCCAGGGATGCTTGCTGCTGCTGGGATGAGGAACCTTAAATCTCCTCTCCCGGTGTTACCCAGCTAGCTTCCACACTTCTCCAATAGCCCATGGTGAACGTCCAGTACAAGGGGTGTTTGTCACACTTCTAATGTATCCAGTTATCCTACCCTTAAAAATGCAGCAGAAAAGAGGTTATGGGCCCAGAAGGGATGCTGGAAACCGACAAAGGAGAGTTTGCTTTGAAGGAGAACTATGGACTTTGGTAGACTATGTTCTTGGGATATCTACAGTTGATGAATCACCTTCTGTGCTAGCGGAGGATAGAATGTTGAAAGTGAGTTACACTACTCTTAGATTAAAAATAAGAGACGAAGCCCAGGTCATTTGTTGCAATAGTGTTCAAAGGGGACACAGCACCAAGAGAAACACTTCATGGAGCTTGCAGCCACAAAAAAAAAGACTACAGGCGTGGCAGTGAGGGGAAGAGATGCAGATATTTGCTATTTGGCACAAAATGAAATCAATTGGTAACGTCCTTAAAGAAAGCATTGATTAGAATTTCATACCCTCTTTTTCTGTGTAGTCAGTGACAAATAATGGAGAAGCTTTCAATAAGGCAGGAATTAACTAGTTTGTAAGAACGGTACAAAGTTCATAATTCAGATATATAATAGGCTTTACTATTTAAAACACATTTGTTGAAAATTAGAATAGCTGTCATGGATGTTACGATATTCAAACTTGGAAAAAAAAACACGGAATTCTGGGTTACTGTTATTATGATGACATTGGAAAGCTACAGATGTCGTGGAAGGAATGAAAATTTAAATTAAAAAAAAAAAATAAGAAAATGGAGAACACTATTTGAAATGGCAAGATGTCTGTTGATTGAAAGTAAATTGCCTAAGGAGTTATGGACATATTTATAATGACTGCTGATCAGATCTAAAACAGTTGCTGTAACAACCGTCTAGTTAGTACAAACCACTTATTATTTGTTAATGGGCAAAAAATAAATAAAAGAACCTTTCTAAAATTAAATTTTTGGGGGCATATAAATATGACAAGAAATAAACTAGATTCAAAATTTGAGAGAAGGATCTTTGTTACGTATGACAAAAACAGCTATATCTAGTATATTATCCAGACACTGATATGGTCCTAACACATTGGTTTGTGAAATGTATTAAAAGAAAATTGTTGAAAGGCGAACCCAGGCTTACTTATTACATGATAAAGCCAAAGAGAAGGCTTTACATTCCATGCACCAAAAACTAAACATACTCAATTAGAATTTTCAGAAGAGGCCCAAATTGAGGACAATGGTCAGACAAGGAACAATCATGATACTTGTTATGCTAAAAGAGACTGTGTAGAAATATGTGGAAGACTGTGTCAGATTTCAAATGTAATGATGTATTAACCAACATTGATTATTGCTAGAGGATATTTGATGTGCCACAGACCTATAAAACTCACCCCGTCACCGCTTTAGCTTATGAAAGAGGAATTGGATTGTCGACAAATCTACACATTCACTTGACCACTTTACAAGTAGGTAAACTTTTGGTGAAAGGTACATGGGTGTATACAATAAATAACAAAATTGATGGATCAGAAATGTACATGGCCAGAAATGTTGCAGAAGGTTATAATTAAATAAAGGGAATTGATGATGAATACATTTTTGGTCCAATTGCAAATATTATATAAATATGTATATTACTGCAACTAGCAGCACAATATGACTTACTTCATCACCTGAGTTCAGGTCCAAACTAAATGAATTTTTTTTTTTCAGATTGAACAATTCATTGTACAGTTTAAATATGTGACCATTAATGGTAAAAATGGGTTAGGACTAAATCCAGCAGACCACTGCCTATACACCAAACAATATGAAGATGAGAAAATAATGCTTATAATATGGGTCCATGATCTGATTATCAATGCCAGTAATGAAACATTATTTAATGATGTAAATGTAATGTGTTCAACTACATTTAAGATGAAAGACCTTAGAAGTATCAAACATTTCCTTGATATTTGTAGTACATCTGTGTGATATTGTTCCTTCCCCATTATATATGTTTCTTAAAGATCCAGTTATAATACCCTTGAAAATACAGCATGCAACAAAACAAGCAGTAATATAATTTAGTGCTCAGTTTGTCGATAATAATGTTGTGACTTAGCTCCTTTATTCCGACTGAGTACTTCCGCCAAGTCAGCTTCCTAGCTGTTATCAGGGACGCTAGAATTTTTCAGCCCCAGTCACCAAAGCTTGACTGGGATCGCTGAGGACTTCTTCCACTTTGGACCAGGCTGCAACTCTCTTCTTCCAGGCATGTACCATCTGCCTACACTGATGTGTAGGCAGATGGCATTTGTGGCTCTTAGGTCTAGCTCTTTTTAACTTGTCCCAGGGACAAACACCAGCTAACAGGTCCGAAGACTCTGTTAGTGGGATCCCTGAATAAACTAACCAGGACACACAGTTCCCAATGGAACAAAAACACTCCACTTTATTTTTACTTAGGACTAGCCCATATGCACATTACATCAAATTTACGGTGACAAACTTAATCCAAGACAAATAATCAGATCATATAGGGAAAAATACAGGAACACATAATAACATTTAAAACTGGGTGGGGAAGACAACAACTAACACAAAATATCTACCCTGCCTGCAAAAACCAAAATACGCTAATCTACCCGAATATGCAAATTAACAAGCTTTGCTATACAGGTAGTGCATATAGTTTTATAGTTTAAAGATTTTCACAACCAACAGATGGCGCTGTACTAGCTCCACAGCCAAGTCCACCTAGTTGTTTGAGAGCATCAGCAGGACAGAAGAGCACACAAAACATTTAGCAATAAACAATTACATTACACACACCCTGCACCTATAATGGTCACAGGATGAGTAAAACATAAGAGTAATGTGGAGATGTAATGCTAATTCATAGTTACAAATAAAATCTAGCAGACTAAGGCTGTATCCTCCATTCAGGGTGGATGGCATACTCTGATCTGTGTGCTCTCCTGACACGTGAGGTGGACTCAGTTTTCTCTTTCATTCTTGGGATTTGTGGAGTTGTAGATAGAGTTTTCAGTAGTCTCTCAACTGCAGCTCTTTCTGCAATATAGATTCATGTAATTTTAAATTAAACGCATTTAAGCAAATATGATGACATGCATAAATACAAATTTAGACATAACTGTATGGTATTTTTTTTTTTTTTTTAAAGGTACATTTCAAGGTTTCAGCTCTATAGCCTTCTGTATTGCTTATGATGCCAGGAGTGACCTGGAGCCCTCACAGAGTAAGGCATTTGAACTGTTTAAGAATGGTTTGAAGAGCTTTGCAAGAGCAGTAGCAGGAGGTGGCAGTGGGCGCCCCAGCGGGACCACATATGTCACCAAACTATTCTTAAACTGTTTGGCTACTTACTTTGTGGAAGGCACTTTAGCACCAACCACTACAGTGGGCTGTAGTGGTCAAGTGCTTGGAGTGGTCCTATAGAGAAGAAGATGCTTTACAAATTACACAATCATACCACAATTATGGTGTTGACTGGAAGCAAATTGTTTTGTCATCTGCAAACCAGCCATATAGAGTCCAGTGTATTGAAGTCGACTGTTATCAGTATCAAGGAAGCTAAAGGAACATTCCAAGCACCATAACCATAGTCTTTATGGAAAGCCACTCTTGATTGTGTTGATATACATTTCCTTACATAAATTTGTAATCTAGTTAGCCATAATCTAGAATGTAACACATTTGAAAGTGTGTGTACTTTTTCCTCAACAGCTTGCAAGGGACACTATAAGCATGAAAACAACTTTAGCTTTTTAGTATATATATCATGCCCCTTCATTATCACTGCTCAATTATCTGCCATTTAGAAGTTAATCAGTTTGTTTATACAGCCTTTGCCACACCTCCCCTGCATGTGACCTGCAGAGTCCCCCAACACATTTCCTGTAAAAACAGATCTGATGTTTAAACTTCCTTTATAGCGCATTCCGTCTAGTTTGCAATTTCTGATCTCCTGCACTGTTAATAGCCTGTTAGTGTCTGGAGGAGCCTCATGCGATTGATTAACGTTCAATTAACAAAGCAGGAGAAAAAAACAAAAAACTTATAAATTAAACATACTGTACTGATTGAAAATGAAACTCATTTTTTTCATGTTGACTGTGTGAATCACAGTCAGTGGTGTTGTGGGTAGGACTTGTATAAACAGAAACAAAAGGGATATAACTCCGAAATGGCAGTGAATTGAGGAGTGAGACTTCACTGGCATGATCTATACACTAATCCTGTTTCATTAAGCTAAAGTTGATTTGGTATAAGGAAGTAGAAAAGGGTGGTGCCACAGAGATAATATGTACAGTTAAATATAAGCAAGTAGTAATATAGAAATAAACAATGATATATAATACAGAGAGAATAATAAAATTTAATTTTTTTAAAAAAAACTAATACATATATATATATATAAAACAGTCCAAAAAGAGTCCAGTAAAATACTTGGGATGAGAGGACAATCAATATGGTTTTATCCACTTGAGAAAGCCCTAAGGGGAGAAACACATTGTGAAAATTTTAGCTAACTATATTTTAATAAAGGTATTTTGGTCACTTTCTTTGTTGTGAGTCAGCCATTTTATCTTTTTTACAATTTTTATTATTTTACTACCTGGCATCTGAGTTTTACTTGTTCCAGAGAGATACTACTCCAAAGCATCCTTGGTGGGGATTATACCACTTACGCCCTATCATTGAGCAGTGAGCCTGCCCAATTAAATGTGAGTAACCATTTGGTATTTTTATACACTCTCCTGGTTTTATCACAGTGAGTACTATTGTTGTTTTTTATGTAACATATGGTCCCCATCTGACGAGATATCTACTTACAACACTCCTTTACATATCCCATAAGTGGGGATTATACCACTGTACGCTGTTTATACTAGAGCTAGTTCCTAACTCTCAAAAACGTGAGTAGGACCATATGGATCTTTTTTATTCGCTGCTATCTTTTTGGTTTTATTGCACTATTAGATTTTCTTTTCTCTTTCATACGGATCCCACAAACCTCTTGATCCTACTACTCCATAGACATCTCTACCTCAGAACTGTGATTGTTCTCTCATCCCAAGGTTTTACTCGACTCTTTTTGGACTGTTCTTTATACCTATTATTTTTTTTATTTTATTGTTCTGTCTCTGTATTATATATAATTGTTTATTTCTATATTACTACTTGCTTATATTTAATTTTACATATTATGTCTGTGGCGCCACCCTTTTCTACTTCCTTATACATATATACATATAGGGCCTGTGAGGGAGCCCTTTAGGTGTGCTGCCTTTATTTAAGTTTTTAAGCGCTGATCCTTCTGTACACTTTTCACTTAAAGTTGATTTGGTGCTTAGAGAATCATTTTAAAGAAATGTAACTATATAATACAAATACGTAATTACCTTCTTTCCCAGCCTTCAATAACCATTGGTGTGCCGAGGACAAATATTCAGGTTTAACATATTGGTTTAGTGTCTGGTGTTAAAAAGAATACATATATATATATTATTAGAATAATCAACATACTGGATTGAATATTGTTTGTATTGAGTGAGTTTCAAATACAGAACTGTGAGAATTGCCCTCAATTCATATTACACCAGGGTTACTTTTCTTGGTAACAAGAATAAAAAGAAAATAAGTAGTGGCAAATTTAAACTTGAATTGTAAAACGTAGGTCAACATATCTAAGTTTGAAAAATATCCACCTAAGCCTAAACTGTATTAGAAAATGTTTATTCTTCCTTTTTCTGCAGTTTGTAATATTGTATATTGTGCATCTACATAGTTTCTGATTTAAATAATAATTTTTTATCGATCTTCAGTAACTATGAAAACCTTGCCATAGTTCTCTGTTTAAAGCTCATGAAATACATGGTATTCACCTGACAGACTTGGCTTATTCCATTATTCACATCGACTCTTCTGTTGTTTGCCTCCGTTATAAACGCCACCATTTTCTCAATGGCCTCACAGTCTGCATTTATATGGAAAACACGAGAACGAGATTTAATATAAGTGTCAAACCTATTCTCCAAATGATTATGGACAGACCCTGCCTGAAAAGGGGGCATTACTTGCACACAACAGGCTTCCCAGGCCAATTTGACCTGCTTCACTCTGGGCTACCCATGCAGAGAGCATTGTTGAAGTAAGCTTGCATTGGCTTGATACAGAGTGCACAAGAGCTAATACTATGCTTTTTGGGGGGCATTCGTCTGGTATCCCCAGATGTGGACTACAGAAGTCTTAAAATAAAAATTGTCACACTGTATCTGGGACCATAAGGATTTGTCAAGATGGCCACACTATGTTTTATGTCACCCAACCCTGTTGATCATAATCACTCGATTCCTTTCCACATCACCTTAAATAAATATTTGATTTTCTACCTACATTGATACCTTGATATATATATTTTTTAATTTAACTTAAAATTGCACTTTGTCCCAAACAACATTTCCTGCCAAGTTGCATGGTGAGTATATACTCCGTTTACCTTTTTCACTAGCAAGTTTCATAAATGCCTGGGCTGCCAGATTGATTCTTGAATCACGGAATATTTCCACCTATAAAATACACAATATCTAAGTTAAACAATAACCTGTTTGCTACCTAAGGAAGGCAAATATCATCATGATTGCTCTAGCTGGAGACCAAACTCTCTAAATAAGACTTATGTCTCTTCAAGATTGAATATGCTTGTACATGGTCTCTAACCTTTTATCACAAAATGTCTACACATATCCTAAATGAAATGAGATGTGAAGCCAATAAGGAAGCCAGGCACAACACCAACAGAAGCCTCAACCTGATCACTTCTTCGATGCTGGAAAACTCCTTTTACTAGGGCTAGGCAAACTCCAGATGTTGTTGACTACATCTCTCATTATGTTCTTACAGCCACAATACTGGCAAAGCATCATGGAAGATGTAGGCCACAACATCTGGAGTGCAGAATGTGGTCTACACCCTGTTCTATGCCATTGCTCTTCAATGATGCTATAACAGTAATTCAATACGCTGGCTTTAGGTTTTCCTCAAGCTGGGACACATTTCTTTACTCCAAACCCTGTCTGCAGTATGGTGTTATTAGCATCTATTGCACATTGCAGGGTTGCCTCCTCCTACTGTTTTAAAAATCTATTTCTACTTTGTTTGGAGAGGCAGACCCTAAATGTCTACGCATCCTGTTTTTACTTACTACCACACTGCCAGCTTTGCATGTATAACTCAATCATACTAATCATTTAGGCTCTACCTGGAATACAAAACTTCATGACCGGCCATGGGTCACCCTCCATCAGTACTGTTCAAGCTTACAATATATTGTCAGATGATACCTTTCTCACTATAGGCCTTCGTAAGCACCTCCTCATCTTCATCTTGATGTCAACACCGAGTACTGAACTACCTAAATGATCTTCCTAGCTCCAATACTGTTCGTATCCCCCATTTGAAAAAAACTCCATATTGAACATGAAAACTTCCACTTGTACTCTCCGTTTGCATATGTATTCACAATAAAATATTTGGACAAAATATAATAATAGATAAATACACTGATATTAAAGGGACATGAATCCCTTTCAGACAACTGACTCATTCTGCAGGCGGAAAAAGGCAGTAATTATAATTTTTTTCATATTTACCTACGTTTTCTTACCCGCATTTTCCACTCTTACCCTAGGGAGGACTCTGATCCAGACCATCAGTGTCCTACCGCTAGTTACGTGATGTTGCAAGATCCATATGCACTGGCTAAGAATACGAATTACGTGGCACTTTGACTATGCAGCAAGTGTTGCCTAGATGCCCATGGAGAAAGTGAAGCCCAACAGACCACCAGGGAGTCAAGCAGCCCATCGGATCACCAGAGGTACAGGCATCCCACTGGACTGTCAAGAAATGAAGCAGCCCACTGGACTGCCAGGGAATTGGGCATTAGGGCCTCCCTCTTTGCACAATAGGTAAGGAAGAAGGGAACTACAGCTTCATATATTAAAAACTATTGAGTTGCACTGCACACACAGTCAAATGTCGCACTAACTCCCCACACACAGTCACCATGTTACTCTTACCCCCCTTCAATCACCTTTCCACACTTCAACCCCTTCCTTCAACCCTTTCCCCACAAACAACACATCACACTTGTACCTCCTACATATAGTCACCCTGTCACACTCACTCCCCAAACACAGTCACCTTGCCACACTGACCCCTCAGAAGCACCATGTCACAAAGTACTCCCCGGATAAAGGGATTCACTGTGCAAAGCAGTATGTCAGTCCATTTGTAGAGAGATTGGCTGTGCAACGCAGTGTGTCATATAGTGTATAGAGGGATTCACTATGTCACTTAGTATATAGTGGGATTCACTGTAGAGCAGTGTGTTATTCCGTATACAGAGGGATTCACTGCACAGAGCAGAGTGCCACTCAGTATACAGGTGGTTTATTGTGCAGAGTAGTGTGGGTGTCACTCAGTATATAGTGGGGTTCACTGTGCAAAGCAGTGTGTCAGTCAGTATACAGAGGGATTTACTGTGCAGTAATTAATTAGTAAGTAACTGTTAATGGGTGCGTAAGAAGATGCTAAGAGATACAGAGGGAGACTGAATAACTTTCCTGGCTGAGAGGCGTGCCAGACAAAGCTTATGGTGAGTATATTACATAGTTTTCAAACTTTTCTTGTCTTATTTTAGTTTTTATGTTTGTGTAAAAGTGTTTTCTTGCAGGTCAAGTGATGCATGTCCCTTTAAGCTTACTTCATATATTATCGTTCATTTTAAACATTTCAAAGCCAAATGTCAGCTAATATTCTAAAATTGCAACAAAACTGCAATGCTTCACTGAAGCATTAATTGAGTGACAGCATCATAGTTAACACCTATTCATTTAGATCATTTCAGATACAGTGACTGCACTGGCAACTGAGATATTAAATTATCTGTCTTGCAAAATGAGACATCCACTGATAATTCTTTACCTTATATATGTTTGCACCCATTACACGTTCAGTGTGTTTCCTTGAGGTTATAAATCCATTGCCTGTAATATAAATATGTATATATAATTTAAAATGTTAAAATCAGTCACAGAGCATCCATGGTTATTTATAGAGACATATAGATACATCATCACCATGGTCCTTAAGGATCAATATATGGAAACTATTCAGGATAAGGAAGTATATAAGAAGTTTTTGTATTTGTCAATATTTCCAGTTGAGGGGCAATTTACAGTTCTGTTAAAATTCTGCAGAAATGCTACAGCTTTGCCACTATACTGCTAAAACGTGCCCTTTGGTTTAGTTAACCAGTACAGCCCATTCTAGATCTAGCAGAGAAGAGTGACAGACAAGAGACATCCCAGAGAGAAACAAGTAAGTGTCAAATCATTTGGAAATGGTTTAACTACTTCTTCTGGGTGCGACACCAGGGATGCCCTGGCACCACAGCCACTAGCAGGCTACAATATGCCCTTTTAAAATTTAACCCACCTACTCCTTTTATACTTTAAAAGTTAGCAGACGTTTAGGGTTATGGCGCTTAATGTTAGTGGGTGTTTAGAGTTAAGGCTTGGGGTGATTAGGACTTCGGGTTAGAGGATATTTGCCTTCAAGATGCTATGGACTCACCCCTATATAATATAAGTTTGAATCCTAAACAACCCTTAAGCCTAAACACAAGCTGAAATACACCTTAATCCTAAACACCAGTTAACCCTAAAGCCAGTGGAAGGGTTAATTAAGTAAAAGGGAAATATTGAAAGATTTCTGTAGCGTTGTGCACTCCCGTGCTGCTCTCAGCAAATGGCAGGATACAATAGATGAAAAAGTCCAATAAATAAATAAGTGGTGGTTTCAATTTAGGTACTCTAGCATTAAATTTAAAATTCAATTCTCACTTTAGTAAAAAAGACTGAGAATATTTTAATGAAAAAGTTATTTTTGGAAATATGCTATACCTGTTTCTGAAGAAACTTCTTTTTCACAATGGTAGTGTCCTGGTAAGTTATGAAGACTCGTTACCAAAAATATTCTGTTGAAAAAAAATGACAAATCAGTAAAAATCCTCTTAAAACTGTACACTCGTGGCTCTGCAAGATGTATAAAATTGCAATACTGAAATGGACTCTATTACGTAGAAATTACATTTTCAACTTTTTTTTTAATGTATACAAGATTAGAATACAATATTATACCATGTTGAGAAATAATGCATCTACCTCATGCATTACATGCACTCCATCAGTGTCAAAATGCACCTTCTGTGACATTATACAACTGCATTTAAAAATTGCTACCAAGTTAGGAAATCCCATAAAGTGTGTACAAGTGTGTTTAGCTGATTGTCTGGCACTAATTATAACCTTTAAGAAGTACCAGCAGTAAATTATACTCTGCAAACAGAACAGTGTGTGAAATGTGACTGTAATATTATGAGCAAACAAATTAATACAAGACAAGGTTGAATTCTTCCCAACTCAGAGTGATAAGTAATTGGAATTAGTTGTGGAAACTCTGTGACCTGCTAATTGTTTTACAATCCCTTTTTGTACATATAAAAAGACTTGTTGCATGTACGAGTTCTTTCCCTAGCAAAATGGTTGTTATAAGCCAAGTGCTAACAGCAGTTTTCTTGAAACACTGTCCAGCTCCATTTAAAATGTTTCTGTTTCCAGTTATTGCATCATCCTCACAGTAAGCATTGCACATGTTTGAACATTAATAATATTATGTTTCATTGTGTTTCTATGCACTAAATAAGCATTGGCTCAGTATGGTCTACAGATCACAATGTGCAACTGATCTCCAGTCCAGTATGTAATGTGATATAATAAGTCATATTCCAGGTTATTAATTGCAGTGTTATTAAAATGAGGAAAAACCTTTAAATATGTGTAACAATATTGGGAATTGTCATGGACTTACCTGCACCAGGCACACACACATGTCCCCTCGTCGGGGCGCACAAGCCAAACATATTGCGCAGCAGCATTGCTCCCCTCCTCAGGTCGTGTGGCCACGCTGCTTGAACAGGGAATGCTTACCATTCGGGCCAGCGAACAGCACCCTCTGCTTGTTTGCGTGGGTCTAAATCCTATTCATTGCATTTTATTAGAATGGCGCTTTTATAAATTCAAATGTTGTGATGTCACACCCGCCCTTAAAGTGACCATTTTATCCAGGCAACCCCATTGTCAATCATTTTGGAGTCACAGAGATGACATAGACCAATCAGAAACATTGTTAGCCTATATAACTGTCACGTATTCATCCACTTATAAAAATGTGGTTAATGACATTTACTGTCCACACAGGAAAAGTTGTGCCGAGCAGCAACCAAATCCACAGAAGGGTTAATGCTGAGCAGAAATTATGCAAATAGGAACCTGGTAACTGCTTTGGGGTCAAAGGCCGGTTACAGCCTATCAGATCTAGAGGAGGGGTATTTAGGCCCAGTTCTCATCCTGCTCAGTGCCCTGTCATGGTTTCCCTTGTGGTTGTCCGAGAGTGCGTTATTGATTCTGGTAATTCTGGTTATTTGACTTTGGCATTGTTTTTGACTTCCCTGTTTTCTGGCATCCCTGACTCCTGGCTTTTCCTTATCGTTGTGTCTCTTTCTGTTTCCCTTGACCTCGGCTATTCCTGACTATTCTTTGGTACGTTAGTCCAGCCATTCTAAGGTCCGGTATACGTTACCTATCAGTCCTCTGTGTTATACAATTCTACGTGCTGGATCATTCTGTAATCCTGACAATAACGTTAATTTGGGCCCTTGTTCATTGCCCTATTGTGGTTTTTGCCCTGATACATGCTAGTGATAACAGTAAGTCTCACTTGATATGTCAATATTGACCCGGCTTATATTTGACATTGAGTATTTCTGGTATCTTGCCCTGGCTTGTTATTCCTTATATCTGTATTTCTATATCCCTGATCTTGGCTATGCCTGACTCTGCCTTTATCTTTATTAACGTTAAGTCTGGCCTCTCTAAGGCCTGGTAACGTCTATCTAGAACCTCTGTTTGTGGGAATTGCCATTCCTGTAAGTTGGGGTACGACCCTGTGACAGGTATAGTCCTTAAGTATTAACACTTGTGATTGGCAGCTGGCTGGCAGTTTCCATGGAATGGACTGGCCATTACCTGGCAGTCCAAGGCAAAATAGGAATGGATAAACACATGCTAGTCCATCTATTCCATTATTTAACCCATGTTGTACACAGGAAGTGGGAAGCCTCTATTAATTTGATAGGAAGGGAGTCCTTTGGACCAACAATCTTTGTTTGCCCTACCCCAGAGGTGTAACTAGAAACCACCGGGTCAATTCCACCCTCCCCAGTCTCTCCATGTGTCAAATCCACCATCTGCCAGTCCCCTCTCCCCCAAGTCCCTCAATGTGTCTATACCACCCCCGCAGTCGATCCATGTGTCAATCCCACCCTCCATGTGTAAATCCCCCCCCCCCATACTTTAATGTGTCAATTCACTCCCCCTGTCTCTCCATGTGCCAATTCCACATTGCTCTCTGTACCTGCTCTCTTCTGTAGCATGGCAGAGCATGCTGCAGTAGCCAGTCTAACAGGATGAGCTCCCTCAATGAGCACTTCCTCTCAGTCCAGCTAGAGGGAAACAGAGGTCCCTCTACCCTGGTCTGCTCAGCCACGCTACTTGTTGTGACCCTCACCTATTCTGTGCACTCCCCTCCTGCAGGTCACCTGGCAACCGCGGGCCCTGTGCACTGGCCCTGAAGTATATACTCGAGTATATACGGTACATCATACTTAATGCTACCATGAGGTGCTAAAACAGAAGACAACACTAACATGCCCACGATTGGCACTTGTTCTTAATAGTTATTAACCCCTTAAGGACTGAGCCAAATCTACACGTTGTGATCAACACAAAACGTAAGCAAAAACTTGAATTTGCGCTATATGTCTGTTGAGGCGTAATTTACCTCTTTCATATTATGTGTACCCACACATATATCATTTTATTCAGGGGAAACAGGGCTTTAATTTAACATAAAATATTTAGGTCTGAAACATAATTTAATATGAATAAAATATAAAATAAAGAGGGGCGTGGCTAACCGCCGAGAGGAATGGACGTGTAACCCGTTCACTCCGGCAACACGGGTCGCAATCCGACTCCATCGAACGCAACACGGCGGCACAACTGCTTAAAAAACGAAGATGGCACAGCAGAGAGGCAAGAAGTCTGCACACAAAGCGGAAAAAATCAATTTCTTTGGACACAAGTCGCACCAGGAACCGGAGGAGGCTCGGGCCTGGTCGCAAGATGGCGGCTCCGCTACTGACAGCCCTGAGAACACAGCAGCATTGCAAGAAAGTGATCCTGACATACTCACCAAGAGCTATTTACAACAAGCTCTGGACACCCTGTCAAGCAAGCTAATTACATCGTGGCAACATACAGCGGATTCGCTGAGGAAGGACATGCAAGAATTAGGCAAGCGCACCTCCCACATGGAGAACAAGATGGCAGAATTTGCTACAGCACACAATGACATAGCTTCTCATGTGGAACAACTGGAACAAAAATTACTGGCGGCGGAAAATAAAATAACTGACCTAGAGGACCGCGCACGCAGGAATAACCTGCGCATTAGAGGGATCCCAGAGGATGTTGTGCCGGAGAACCTGCAGGCATATGTCAGAGGCGTGTTTAACGCTTATGCTCCAGACATACCAACCGACATGTTACTCGTGGACCGAATACACCGTCTGCCTAGACCACGGTTCCTGCCAGAAACTGCACCGCGGGATGTACTACTGCGAATGCATTATTATCATATCAAAGAGCTTATACTCAAGTCAAGCAGAAATAAAGCGACACCACTAGAAGGTTACCCCAATCTGCTGATTTTTGCAGATCTATCGGCGTCTACTCTTCGCAGAAGGAAAGAGTTCGCTCAGGTCGCCAACTCCGTGAGGGCTCATGGCCTCAGATTCCGATGGGGCTTCCCTACCAAAATGCTGGTGACGAAAGATAACACCACCCAGGTTATCACATCACCTGAAGATGGACTCCGTAAACTACAATCCTGGGGATTTATGCACCAAAGACCGGAGCCTCACACCCCACCTGCCAGGCGCATCCCACTGGACTGGCACAAAGCATGAACTGCTGGACATACGCAAGTATAAATCTGATTATGCCTAGGCGCTTGCAATGGACTCGAGGGCTGGGGAAATATCCCAAGGTCTATATATGCTAAACAAAAAAAAAAAAAAACAAAAAAAAAAATGTTCAGGTTAACACGGATTGGTTATAACAAGTTAAATTACCTAGTTCCTTAAGGTTACTTAAGCTGGCAAGCAATACCTCCCCATCATTTGATGGAAGTATGGGGCTGAACCCCCCCCCCTAGCAACCTGTAGCTTACGGGAGAGGCGATGAGTTGCAGAGGACACACACATTCTCTCCGTGTGCCTCATCAAGAGCATAATGTGAGGGCAACACTGTTACGCTGCTTAGTAAAATAATATAAAAAAAAAAAAAAAAAAAAACAATTGGTATAACACAAGCACTGCTTATAATCAATAGATGCTCATTACCGCAACGAGCTCTCCCAGCTACTAGGGAGCAAGATGCTGTCCTACTGGATGTACTTACCAGCTGCTGATTATGACGAATATAAGTGTATATATATGTATTTACTACTACACCTGACAAAAATCTCTCCTAGTCCCATTACCGTTTACCCCCTTTCTCAATAGAATTGTACACACACCAAGAGCCTATACGACTATTAGTACTTACTACATAGGTGGCCTGGTGCGACCGACCGTCTCCAAAGGTTAAGAGACAGCGGAAGACCCATAGCCATGACACGGAAACATGCTAGTTTCCACCCCCACGGTACTTACCACCAGTACCAAGACACATATATGTATATACTTTGTTTTTGTTTCTACCCGGTTTACACCTCCCCAAGTTTTTGACCCCAGTCCCGCAAAGATAAGGAAGTCCAAGCCACTACCCATACCAGCTAAGATCACTATTACCCACACAGGGGCACTCTTGCCTGATATATGCACAACCAACAAACACACCCGACTAGAAGATACAATCAGAAGTAAATTAAAAACTCAGTGTCCAACCCATATAATAGTACACTATGAAAATATACTCACATAACGTACGGGGACTGAACACCCCTCATAAACGCAGAGTTCTGTTAGAGGAAACTAAGAGGGCTAAAGTAGATATTATGTGCCTCCAGGAAACGCACTTTGTGCGGGGGAGAATACCAGAATTTGGGAAACAAGATTATCCGACGCAGTACCATACGACCTATTCTTCCAAAACAAGGGGAGTGTCCTTTTTGTTTCACAAATCGCTTACCTTTGAACTGCTAAATATTAAAACAGACGCACAAGGTCGGTACTTAATACTCCACTGTCAAATCAACAGAGCCATATATACCTTAGTAGGCATATACAGCCCTAACTCTAACCAGCGCAATTTTTTGCATAAAGTGCTGAGCAAATTACCCCATGAACACAGAGCCGGCATCATAATATGTGGCGACATGAATCATATTCTCCAACCGACTATGGACACGACAGTATCGTCTAACACTCCCAGACATAGATCCTTAATACCACAATGCAAAGCCATCACCAAGCTCTTACTTGACCACAATCTATATGACATATGGCGAACAAATCACCCGAGTGACAAAAGTTACACTTTCCACTCCAAGGTGCATGGAACCCACTCCAGAATAGACGTCATATTGGTGTCACAAGATTTGGTGCCCTCCACAACACAGAGTAGCATAGGGGACATAGTGTGGTCGGACCATGCTCCGGTAACCCTCATAACCCAGGATGCTTACAAGCACAGAGGGAAAACCCAGTGGCGATTAAATGACACCCTCCTATACAACGACACCTTTCAAAAGGAATTGGGGACTGAGATAGATAGATATTTTCAACTTAACAACCAACCTGACATATCACCTACTACATCTTGGCAGGCACATAAGGCAGTGATTAGAGGTCAGCTCATTAGCAGAGCGTCCTTCCTAAACAGGACCTCTCAACAGGCGCGCCTCACACTACTGACCAAACTGCGTGACCTAAAAGCAGCCCAGCTGCTACACCCCACCCCCGACCTCGACATTGAAATAGAACAAACTACAAATCAATTAAATGATCTCCTACTTCAAAAAACAGCGCGCACTTTACAAACACTCAAACTGAAGCATTACACCCAGGGAAACAGAGCGGGGAAAAAATTAGCATCTTTACTGAGGCATCACCAAGCCCACGCCAAAATACCATATTTACTCACTAGCACAGGAGAGAAAATATACAACCCCATAGACATTAATGAAGAAACAGCAGCCTACTACCAAAACCTGTACAACCTAACAAAAGATCCCCAAACACATCAGCCAACACAAGTGGAAATTGATAACTTCCTATCGCAGATAAAATTGCCAAAATTAACACAACAACAGCAGGACTCCCTGATAGAACCGATCACACTGACAGAGTTACAGCAAACGATTCGCTCACTCCCTTCGGGGAAATCACCAGGGCCCGATGGCTTCACGAACACTTACTACAAAGTATTTTCGAACATCCTGAGCCCCTACCTAGTACACACACTGAACCATATTGTACACACAGGGAAGATGCCAGTGGAAATGCTATTAGCACACATAGCCACGCTACCAAAACCAGGGAAACCACCCACGCAACCTAAAAATTTAAGACCTATTTCACTGTTAAACACAGATACGAAACTATTAGCCAAAATATACGCCAATCGTGTAGCGGCCATAATCCCCTTTATTACACACCAGGGGACTGACGGGACTAGGAAGCTCCACAGCCTCCTCTATAATGGGACGCCTCTCGGAGAGCCCAGGGTCTTTATGTCCCTGGACGCCGAGAAGGCGTTCGACAGACTTCACTGGAACTTCCTGAGAACTGTCCTACAAAAATTTGCATTCCCACAACAATTTCTATCCCTACTATTAGCACTATACTCCAAGCCATCAGCACAGGTTGCGAACGGCGGGTTTGTATCCAAGCCGTTCCTTATCACAAATGGAACACGGCAAGGATGTCCGCTCTCCCCGGCCTTATACATTCTTGCGTTAGAGCCATTAGCCCAAGCAATACGGGATAACAACCAAATCAGAGGTGTGGAAATTAAAAATAAAACATACAAAATAACGATGTTTGCAGATGACGTAATGCTCTCCCTATCTGACCCACTCACCTCTATCTCAGAACTCCAGAATCTGCTGCAACAGTACAGCAATTGCTCATATTACAAATTAAACAGTTCTAAAACGCAAGCAATGAGTCTGCATGCACCTGCATTGCTGTATACAGCCTTGCAACAGAAATACCATTATGAATGGAGACAAGACCACCTAACTTTCTTGGGTATAAAATTCACGAGACTAGAAAGGAACTTACATCAGGAAAATTACGGCAAACTCCTCACATCCATAAAACAGCAGCTAGCGAATTGGAAAGGGAAATACATATCATGGATAGGTAGAATAGCAGCAGTCAAAATGAAAATTCTCCCGAGACTGCAATACATGTTCCGTACATTACAAATTAGGCTCTCAAAAACATTCCTTCACGACGCACAAAAATTGATTAACACCTTTGTCTGGTCCCATAAGAAACCCAGAATAGCGGCAAAAATCATGTACCTCACATATAAAGGAGGGGGAATGGGATTACCACACATAGCCACGTACTACAGATCAGCTATACTCGCACCGTTGGTCAACGAATTACACCAACATGACAAACCATCCCCTTGGGTAACGGTAGAGGCTGACCTAACTGGGGGGCAAAAAATAACGCACCTAGCCTGGATACCGCCACAACTTAGAAAAAAATATAAAGATATGTCACCACTCACAGCTACAACATTACGAGAATGGGACAGATTTAATAAGGAACAAGGATTTGATGGGGGGCTATCACCAGCCTTCCTCCTAGATTCATTTTATGGTCTGATACCTTCATTGAACATAACGTCCTGGAGCAATAGAGGTCTAATATACTTGCATCAGTTGTTTGATCAGGGAGAGATCATCCCCTTCAACCGACTGCAAAATAAATACCAATTACCCAATGCAGCAGCATTTGCGCACAGACAGATAAGCTCATGGCTGCAGACAAATAGAAAAGTACTGCCTGCAGCAAACAGGTGGAACACTCTCAATGCATTAGAAAGTCTCTGCACACAGACGAAGAGGCCACTCAAGCTAATCTCTATACTGTACAATCGCCATTATAGTGTACCAGACCCGCATACACTACAGTTTGTTAAAGCATGGGAAGTTGAACTAGGAAAACAGTTAACAAAAGAGCAGTGGTCATATATACTGTGTGAGAATAAAAAACTTACACTTAGCACAACCCATCTGGAACTAGCCAGGAAATTATTATATCGCTGGTACTTAGTACCAACCCGACTGAAACATATGATACCTAAGAATACAGGACTGTGCTGGAGATACAATAAAGCTCAAGGTTCCATGCTACACATTTGGTGGGAATGCCCAATCCTAACACCATTGTGGACGGAAACACAGACCCTAATTAAAAACATTACAGGTGTAGATCTCGCACACACCCCCGAACATTACCTCCTACAGTATATGCCACCAGGCCATACAAAATCATCCCGATACTTAATATATCACATTATCTCGGCGGTTCTGCTGCATATCAGCAAACACTGGCAAAAACAGACGATCCCCAACATACAGAGCTGCATAACCCACATTGAAACCATAAAGAAGTATGAGATAATGGCCAGGTCCAACAATCCCCCCCAAAAATTTTGGAAGGAGGCGTGGGAAAAATGGGACACACGCCAACAGACGCAGTGACAAGTTAAACACTCTAAACACCTTTGTGTGGTAGCTCACAAGACAACGCTTTAAGGAAAGAGCACTAGGCAAACCTTCCTAAACCTTCTTTAACATCACTCTTTGACCATATGAAAGCCTGCACACACTACCCTCACCTACTTAAGCTGGTTGCGTACACTGGTGCAATTTATTAAGGCCAACGAACAGGCCTAAAAGCTGGACCAAGCTAAGGGACCAATACCTGCCCCCCTCCCCTCCTCTACCCTTCTCTTTTTCCCCGCATTATACCCAGGTTATGCCCCAAGTTTATATTCCCCTGTTCATTGGAATAGTAGCTAGGTGTCAGGGAAGATGAGGGTTATTTTCACAACTGAGCAATTACCGACACTGGCACAGCGAAAAGAAAACTCCTACCATCACGACTGATGGTCAAGAGGGAGAACTACATAAATATGGGCACGACAGCAATGCCAGGATACTCTGTTTAATACTCTGTTTAATACTCTGTTTAAGGACAATTTGTTTAACGATGTACCTATATTACCACTATCATATGTAGGCTTCAAACTGGCTCTCATCAAGACACAGATATGATAGCTCATTGTCAATACATGTTGCTCAAAAGTTGTACTCTCTATGTTGTACTCATGAATGTAACTTGCATACCCTGTATACCTGTAATACGACTGTGAAATCTTATAAAATGCAAATAAAAAAAAAATAAATAAAAAAAAAATATAAAATAAAAATGGGAGAAAATAGTAATTAAAAAAATTATTTTAATTCTACGTAACATTTTAACTGTGAATGTCATAATACTGTTTGCTTTGACTGCAATAAAATACACATATTTGTATTCCGCAATGTCTCACATGTAAAACAGTACCCCCTATGTACAGGTTTTATGGTGTTGTGGGAAGTTACATGGTCAAATATAGCACGTTACATTTTTCAGTTTTTTCACATTGAAATTCGCCAGATTGGTTACGTTGCCTTTGAGACCGTATGGTATCCCAGGAATGAGAATTACCCCCATGATGGCATACCATTTGCAAAAGTAGACAACCCACGGTATTGCAAATGGGGTATGTCCAGTCTTTTTTAGCAACCATTTGGTCACAAACACTGGCCAAAGTTAGCGTTCGTATTTGTTTGTGTGAAAAATGCAAACAAACGCCAATTTTGGCCAGTGTTTGTGACTAAGTGGCTACTAAAAAAGACTGGACATACCCCGTTTGCAATACCTTGGGTTGTCTACTGTTGCAAATGGTATATCATAGGGGTAATTTTCATTCTCGGGCTACCATAGGGTCTCAAAGGCACCGTAACCAATCTGGCAAATTTTAATGTGAAAAAAATGAAACGCAAGCCTTATATTTGACGCTGTAACTTTTGAAAACACCATAAAACCTGTACATGAGGGGTACTGTTGTACTCGGGAGACTTCGCTGAACACAAATATTTGTGTTTTAAAACAGTAAAAAGTATCACAGCAATAATATCGTCCGTGTAAGTGCTATTTGTGCATGAAAAATGCAAAAAACGTCACTTTTACTGGCGATATCATCGTTGTTATACATTTTACTGTTTTGAAACACTAATATTTGTGTTCAGCGAAGTCTCCCGAGTATGTATAGGTTTTATGGTGTCTTGGAAAGTTATAGGGTTAAATATAGTGCTAGCCAATTAAATTCCCTTTACGTTCGGCATGGGTTGTCATGCAGGTCCCGCTAATTGTAATTAATTAAGATACCTAATTATGTAAAAATATTACATAAATATATATGTAGAATTAATATATGTATATATATACACATATGTGAATCTATATGTGTATATCTATATAATTTTTTTTAAATATTTTTATTTATATATAGGTATATATAGTGATATATACGTATATATTTATGTATGTAGATATATATATTATTTCGTTCTACGTGTATTTTGATATAAATATATATATATTAATATCACAATACAGTTAGAATGAAATAACACACATCTATATATTTTTTAATGAATTTTTTAAAATTATTTAAAAAAAATTTTTTTAACGTATTTACATATTACATTTTTTTATATTATATATAAATATATATATATATATATAACAACAATAATTATATATATATTTAGCCAGTATCAGTCTACGTGTAATTTGATATTAATATATATATATATATATAATTATATATATATATAATAATAGTAAAATACACCTAGACGGTGTACGTGTGTGTATGTATATGTGTATATATATATACTTAGATCATATATATGATCTAAGTATATATATTTTTTTTTACACTAATACATTTTTCATTTTATTTCCAGCCAGCAGGGGGACCACCTGTAATTACAGGCAGCCCCCCTGCTGGCAATACAGAAGCCAGCTATCCCCGGCCATGTGATTGTGGGGTCCTCGCTAGGACCCCACTCTCACATGGCCGGGGGGCTTCGACGAGGACGGACGTGCCGCGGGGGGCTCCCTGGGAGTCCCCCCCACCGCGATCGCCGGCGTGGGACCGCCGGTGACCGGGTAAGTAGGCAAAAACTGGAGGGCGTACAATTTCGCCCGGCGGCGTTTAGAACCGCCTATAATAGGGCGTAATTGTACGCCCTCCTGTCTAAAGGGGTTAAACCATACATTTATAAAAACATTAGCAGGTGTTCAAAAGGCCCTGTCTATGACATCACTTGCTGCTGCAGCCTGGCACAGGTCAGAGTATTTTGGCGGTTGCCATCTTCAAACGGTCGTTTTTTAAAAACTATAAATCCTACAGTGAAGAGCTTTATATTGTGAGAATCACAAGACCCAGACCTACATTTTGATGCATAGTATGTCTCTGAAGTATTAAAAATAAAGGCACAGTCGCAGTTTAGAAATTGCACTTCAAATTTGAGCTTTGCAGAGTGAAGTTTCAATGAATGTCAATGGACGGTGTTGGTTGCAAACAAATGGTCATATTGTGAAAACTATCAGGACTACGGCTTAGCCGTTGACATGTTTAGTGGCAGCAGGGATAGCTGAACGTTTTGATATAAGATTTGTGTAGGTGGGCCCGAAAATAAGGGAGTGGTGGCAGTTTAGAAATCATGTCCTGATTTTTCAGCTTTTGCCAGCTCACACTCTAGCTTGCCATTCATTCCTATGGGACAAATTTCGCCACAAGAACGACGATATTCCGTGAACCATTCGGCGAAACGTTCCACAAAGTAATAGCAATCCGATCGGGAACAATCTGCACGTTTTGGTAAATTTTTGTCTATGTAGTGTAAAAAACTGTGGGAGGAGTTAGGGTGGCAAATTTTGCTATAATAAGAATAATAATAATAATAATAATATATATGTGAGATAACATTAAGTGGTCTTGCTATGCAAGAACACTTAACTAGAAAAGCTACAATTTCTGGGGAAATTGTGTGAAGTGTTCTTGCCTCCACCAGTAGTCTGCAACTGGAGTGGGCAGAGTAGCTGTTATCATTTATATAGCACATTTAATTGCAATGTTGTTGCACAGTTACATTAAACCATACATTTATAAAAACATTAGCAGGTGTTCAAAAGGCCCTGTCTATGACATCACTTGCTGCTGCAGCCTGGCACAGGTCAGAGTATTTTGGCGGTTGCCATCTTCAAACGGTCGTATTTTAAAAACTATCAATCCTACAGCGAAGAGCTTTATATTGTGAGAATCACAAGACCCAGACCTACATTTTGATGCATAGTATGTCTCTGAAGTATTAAAATTGAAGGCACAGTCGCAGTTTAGAAATTGCACTCCAAATTTGAGCTTTGCAGAGTGAAGTTTCAATGAAAGTCAATGGACGGCGTTAGTTGCAAACAAATGATTATATTGTGAAAACTATCAGGACTATGGCTTAGCCGTTGACATGTTTAGTGGCAGGAGGGATAGCTGAACGCTTTGATATAAGATTTGTGTAGGTGGGCCTGAAAATAAGGGAGTGGTGGCAGTTTAGAAATCATGTCCCGATTTTTCAGCTTTTGCCAGCTCCCACTCTAGCTTTGCCATTCATTCCTATGGGACAAATTTCGCCACAAGAACGACGATATTCCGTGAACCATTCGGCGAAAAGTTCCACAAAGTAATAGCAATCCGATCGGGAACAATCTGCACGTTTTGGTAAATTTTTGTCTATGTAGTGTAAAAACTGTGGGAGGAGTTAGGGTGGCAAATTTGGCTATAATAAGAATAATAATATATATGTGAGATAACATTAAGTGGTCTTGCTATGCAAGAACACTTAATAAATATATATATGATCTAAGTATATATAATTTAATTTTACACTGTTTTAAACACTTTTAATTTTTTTTTACAAGCAGCAGGGGGAGTACCTGTCATTACAGGCACTCCCCCCACTGGCACTGCCTTGGACGGCTATGCCCGCAAGGACCTCGCGATCACATGGCCCAGGGGGGCCGAAAAGGACGGAAGGGGACTCCCTGGGCTCCCAGGTAAGTCCCCAGACCACGATCACCAGCGTGGGATCGCCGGCGACCTGGTAAGTACATAGGACAGTGGGGACGTGCTATGCCGCCCCCGGGGTTTAGAGCCGGTTCCCTAAGGACAGCACTGCACGCCCGCCGTCCTTAAGGGGTTAACCTCTTAAGAAAGGAGCCAATTGTACAAGTTGTGATCAAAACAAAACGTAAACAAAACCTGGAATGTCTGTTCAACCATAATTCACCTCTTTCATATTAAGTGCACCCACACTTATTATATATCATTTTGTTCAGGAGAAACAGGGCTTTTATTTCACATGAACCATTCATATATAAAACATAATTTATTATGAATAAAATCTAAAAAGGTGAGAAAAATAAGATTTAAAAAAATCATTTGGTCACTTCCCTGGTGCCAACTATCTTTTTTATACACTTGAACTTTACCTGGCATTTTGTAGTATCCTGCACTCCAAGAGAACTTAGAGGTCCCTTCTGAGGGGTTAAGGATAAGACATCTGAGTCGGGGATCATACCACAAGCGCTGTTACCAAGGAACAGTTAGCCTGCTCTTTGCTTGTGAGTAATATTTTAGTTATTATATATACTGTTGTTTCTATTCAGTGAGCACTATTAGTTGTCTCTTTATACCCTCTTTCCTGAGTGTGGCCATACCCCAGACGGAAGAAACCCACAGCATATCCCATAAGCGGGTATTATACTGCTGTACGCCCTTAACACTAGAGCTAGTTATAGCCCTACTAAATGTGAGTTTATTCCTGTTTATTTCATCTATATACATATTGGACCATTCATATTGCACTATTGGTTATTTTTATCTGGTTTTTGTCTTTCATATGAGTGGATTCATCCAGAAAGACACTGAGGATATTACTCCTGTTTAAGCACCTTATTCAATATTTGATCTGAGTAAGATCCTTTTTATTGGACTTTTTTTACTGATTTTTTTTTAACTTATTTTATGTGTTGTGATTTTCACTGCTCATTATATTTTGTTTAGAAATTGGCGCAGCCCTTCCCTTTATTTTTCTCACTATCTTTGTTTCCCATAGGTTTGGAGGGATCTCCCTTCTAGGGTTGCTGCCCATCTGTTAATCAGCGCTTACTCTTTTTTCTCTGTTGTTCAAGAACTTAGAGGTCCCTTCTGAGGGGTTAAGGATAAGAGCATGTACCAGTCGTCCGTTGTTAATATGAAAAGGCATATTTGGGGAAAATAGCCCTATCACTACCCAATGGTGTAAGAAGGTGGAGGAGGGAGAAAGGGTAACAGGGAGGGGTGACAACATAGGAATAAAAAACAGAATAGCGCCCAGAAGATTGGGCCGATGTGTCGTGGCATATCCGGACACACATAATGTAGGGGGCGGCCATGGGTATCTCATCAAGGAGTCACTCGGGTGTTAAGGCTCAAGAGGAGCCGTTGGACTTTAACTAGGTTAGCGCACCGTAGTGTGGGTGCTGTTCCTCACAGTTATGGTCTAATATTTTTTTTGTATACAAAATAACTTTCCTGGCCTATGCCAGACATACCTTTAATCTATTGACATGTCTGATTGTGTTGCTAAATGGGCAGTGACAAATTCTAACCAGGTGCAGTTGAAAGTGTAGCATGTCTTAACAGGTAACTGGTAGATAACATGGTACATAATTAAGCCATGGCAATAATGTGTCAGTAAAAAACCCCAAACCAGAAAAATAATGAAACATAGCTATGAACAACGGTTAACTATATGCTCATAAGCAGTTTGGCATTAAACGATACCCTGCGGACAGGGCCCGGGACTGTCGTGCTCGAGACCATTCCGGTACCATCCTGGGGATCTTAGCCGGTGTAGCTAGTTGTGAATTGTCCCTTTAATTTTTGAAGGCCTTCCCTTTGTGTTGCCACGGTGTGTATCCCCAGCGATAACTCAGGTCGTTGGATCTAAGCGTGGCGGTGATTTGAGCCATCAATTTACGGAATTGCTTACTCCGCGCGGGCCGAGTCCGCAACATATGGCGGCGGGCACCTGGTCTGAAGTGAAGTGAAGTGGTCTGGGTGCCAGGTCCCTCTAGTTTTAACCCTGCAGCTGAAAACATAGCAGTTTCAGTTTGCTATGTTTCACTGAGGGTTAATCCAGCCTCTCGTGGCGGTCTCAGTGACAGCCGCTAGAGGCCCTTCCGCAATTCTCACTGTGAAAATCACAGTGAGAAGACGCTGAATGTCCATAGGAAAGCATTGAGTAATGCTTTCCTATGGGCGGTTTGAATGCGCGCGCGGTTCTTGCGGCGCATGCGCATTCGGATCTGAGAGGCGGAGGGATCCCCACGCCAAGGGAGTCCGGCGCTGGAGAAAGGTAAGTGCTGAAGGGGTTTTAAACACACACAGACGCATACACACTAGCTAACAGATGCACACATTTACTGACAGAGACACACTCAGTGACATACATACTCACTGACAGACAGACATACTCTCTCACTGACAAACACACACTCACTAACAGACACACACAAACTAACACACTCAGTAACAGACACACACAGTAACACACACACTGACACTCATTAGCAGACACAAACTGAATAACAGACACACAGAAACTAACACAACTAACATACAAAAAATTCCACCCCAAGCTCCCAGACAAATGCCTTGCTTGCCTTGTGTTCTGGAGCTCTCCACCTTACTGTGAGTGAGTGAGTGTAGCTGTCAGTGTGTGTCTGTGAGTGAGTGAAAGTGTCTTTCAGTGAGAATGGGTGTGCCTGTGAGTGTGTGCCAGTGTGTGTATATCATTTTATGTGTATCTGAGAGTGTGTGCCTGTCAGTGAGTGGGTGTGTCAGTGTGTGTCTGACAGTGAAAGTGTGTGTTGGTTAAACAGTGTGTGCTTATGACTGTATGTGTGTGCCAATGACTGTGTATCTGTCACTGAGTGTATATCAGTGCATGTATCAATGAGGGCATGTGTCTGTCAGTCAAAAAAGTGGCCTTGACAGGAATTGGGGAGTCATATTTAGATTTTGGGGGTGCCCGAATTTAGTCGTGCCTAGGGCAGCACAAATCCAAAATACACCACTGGATGCTGGAAGAAAGTGACAGCCGATCACTTACTCCCTGCTCCTTGCTGAACACATCAGTAGGGAGGAGGTTGTGGTACAAGTAGCAGCAGTGGGGAGAGAGACAGGAGCGAGCAGCTGCAGATCCTTGCTCCCCTCAGCCAGCAGCAACAGGAAGCAAGCTACCCTATTGGAAACCAAAAGTAAACTAACAGGAGGGTGGCTGCAAATAAAAAAAAAAATTTCATTTATATGACAAGGCAGGAGAGGACACGGGGAGCTCTAGCCAGCAGCTCCGCCGGGTTCCTCTCGAGAGGTCAGAGCTAGCCGCGGCAATGCTCAGATCTCGTGAGAGTGAACTCTAGCCCCGCAGGCTAGAATTCACTCACCACTGGACCACCAGGGATGGCTGCAGCACGGTCCCCTCCTCCCGATAAAAGGTAAGAAGGGATGGGGGCTATTAACTAAACGTTCCCACCACACACACAGCACACACACACTAACAGCACCCTCACACATACAACACCCACACACATACATCACCCTTACACACACAACACCCTTACACATACACACACAGCACCCCCACACTAACATCACCCTCACACATACAGCACCCTTACACACATTTATGCAATAGGCTGCGCACGCCTATGATACAAACACACTCCTGTATTAAAACACTAAAATTATATACAAGCACCACTTTAATCAAACACTAACACTACACACTCCTGCATTTAAAAAGTCAACACTACATACAAACACACCCCTGCATTCAAACTTCAACACTACACACATGTATACCACTGCAATGAGTGGCAACAGTACAAACAAATACACCCCTACATGCACACACATACTCGATACACAAACATGTTTACATTCAAAAGCACAAACACTGCCCACAAATGCAACCTTGCAAGGATGGGCAAATGGTATATCCCCAGCTGGTATAGCTTCATTGGCGTTGTACGAGAGATGTTGAGCTACCTTTTGGCTACTTTTGCACTAGACAGGGGCCCCAAAAATGTTCTTACACCAGGGTCGTCTCTACATTAGTTCTGCCACAGTTAACATGGTTATCATGGTCTATTTCTGCTTCTAACCTTTGGGGTTATCTTTCAGGTCTGCATTATTGAGGGATGTGGTTTTGCCCAGGAGTGGGCAAGTGATAGATTCGTGGGTGTTGTAGAGTTACTGTTTCCAAGGTGCATTGACATTCTTAAAGCTGGAGGGGATGGTTCTGCAGCATCTAGGGTCCTACTAGTTACACACCCTGGGTCTAGCCATATTTTGTGGGTACTGGATAATTGTAACCTATTTTGTTCTCTATTCAAGAATATATTTATTGTCCATCTAGGGAAGTTTCCATAAAAACTACAGTACAGAGTTTGTGTTTCGTTCTGATTTTGCAAAAAATTGCGGTGGCTTGTTTAATTTCCCTCCCATCAGACATTTAGCTTGGGTATTGGCTATTGTGATGCAGCCATGGATTAGCCAGGAATTAGGAAAATTCAGCTATAGTTACCATATTTTTATTTTCCTGGATATATCCATGGCAACATGGCATCCCTCCATTTTTATATTTTTATTTAGGAGCATGGAACTAGACTGGAGATCCTATCTGGTAGGAGTGTTATTTATGGCTTTTATTTCCTGTTCGAAGCAGCCAAGTGGGCACAGCCAGTCCTATTGTAATGCTGCCATTGATATATCCAGGAAAAGAAAATTACGGCAAGTATGGCAAAATTTTCCTCATTACCATCTTTACCGATCGTTGACTATCATAGCGCAAATAAGAAAATGAACTGGAACATTCATTATTGCAACATTTTTTCCCCACACCTATAATTTTTATAAATAATTTTCCAGTTGCTCCTGGTTGGTGCCTGCCCAGATTAGTGAGGAAATAATTAAATGTTTGCACTTCTCCCTGTCTTATGGTGATTAATATCATCAATAAACTCATAAAGACAGAGAGCCAATACACACAGAAAAATATAGCGATTGTTATCCTGTTAAAGGGACACTATATTCACCCAGACCACTTCATCTCATTGAAGTGGTCTGGGTGCAGTACCCCTGTCCCTTTAACTCTGCAGACTGTCTTCTGCCTCTAGTGACTGTCTACTTTTATGGAGTTCAACTTTGTGAAATGACGCTGGATGTCCTCATGCTCAGCGTTAAGATGTACAGCATCTTGAAAATACCCATAGGAAAGCATTGATCCAATTGTGTTGCTTGCCAAACATATGCATTAGGTTCCCCCTTGTGCTGACATCGGAGAAAGTGGAGACAAAGCCCTTTCTTTCACTGCAGCGCCAAGGTACCTTGGCTGCAGGGGCAAAGGGACACTATAGTGTTAGTAATACAGCTTTGTATTCCTAACACTATAATGTTCCTTTAAATATGATTACACCATCTTTTTCTTTTCAGTTAACCTTACTCTGATGGGTGGGGTTTGTTCATCCTGGTGGGAGAGATTGGTCTCTTCCTTGCTTGAGATGTGATATCCATTTCTTTTCCTCTGTATTCCCCAGCATACACTGTGGCACTCTTGGATCTTTGACTCACTTCAATAGAATGCTGTGTTTCTGCTTTTCTTTTGATGTCGTCAAATTTTCTCTTCTCAGGTGGGAAATAATAATTCATCCTAACAAATGACTGGAAGTTGGCATTCTGGTAGATGGAATAACTAGCCATTATAAGTTTGGCCAATGTTAAATGTTCAGTATTATAAGGAAATGGTTGCCTCCTTCAGCTTTTCAGCAGCCTGATATATGACTGAAGAGTTCAAGCTGTTGTGTTCAGCCGTTGCTAGGCAGCTGTGTAGTGCAATGACACTTGACCTCTGTCATCTGAGCACTGACTCAGATTACCACATTTAAAAAAAAGGAAATTAGAACAACTATTACATAGAAAGGTCTGTACTCAAAAGCAAAGTGTGCAGACATTGAAAAACAAGTCAAACCATTTCAAAAGGTTAACAAACTGTAATTTGTGTCAATATTTTTTTAAGGTAGAGTGGTAGAAAATAAGTCCAATATTTTGATAAGTGTGGTTTCTAATAGACCTCAACATATTTTTTTTTTTCATGCATATTGTGATTCTTACTCCTGGAAGTTTTTGGAAAAGCTATAAAATAATCTGTCACATTAACCCATTCACAACCAGCATACAGGAATATTCACTAAATGCATTTCAACTTTTGATGTTTTTTTTATTTTTTTAAATCTTGTTAAGAGCATTTTAAAGGGACACTACAGTCACCAGAACTACTACAGCTTAATGTAATTGTTCTGGTGAGCATAATTATTGCCTTCAGGCATTTTCATGCAAACACTGTCTTTTCAGGGAAAAGGCAGTGTTTACATTGCCCCTAGGGACACCTCCAAGTGGCCACTCCTCAGATGGCCACTGGAGAGGCTTCCTGGCTCAGTGCTGCACAGTAGGCAGCACTGCCGTTCAGCGTTCAATGCATCTCTATGAGGAGGTCCTGATTGACCAAAACTGCATTTGGCCCTGCCCCTTGCCAATTTCAGCCAATCCAATGCTTTCAAAAAGGAAAAGCATTGGATTGGCTAAAAATCAGCAATTCTAATGATGTCACCAAAGGGAGCAGACCTAGCGACGGCTTACCCGCACGGCCCTGAAAATATGTTTTGACACCATAGGGTCAGGAATACATGGTTGTGTTCCTGACCCTATAGTGTTCCTTTTAATATCTGCTAAAGAGAAATAGCAGAGAAATGCTCCAAATGCTACACAACAGTATGCCATTCAGATGTTCAAACATCAAACAGATTATATTTCTTTACACAATTAAAAATAAATAAATAAAAGAAAGGAGGGTATTCTGGAACATAGAAAATCACCTAATACTCAGGTTTACTTTTTGTTCCATGAGCTGCTCTGTTTTGTTTTCAAATCTATATTAAAAAATAAAGCAAATTTTCCCACAATCCAGTTCAGATAAGGAAAATCCAGTTAACATTTTTCTAATAGAGGAGACATAGAAACATTTTTTTTTAGTTTCTCCTGTTTTCTGTATGCTTTGTATGCTGGCTGCCAGGTGTAAAGGACAAAGCTTCTAACAATTATTGGCCATTACAGGATAAAGGGTTTTGGATTTATATATTTAATTTTAATTTCATTTTTTCCACTTTTCACACCTCACAAGTAAATTTTTGTTAAATATAGAGCTAAGTAAACAAAATATAAAAAATCTTGGGAAGTGACAGGGCCCATTTAACAAGTGAGGAATCCAACAATAATTTCCCTGCTATTCCCAAACACTATATATTGCAGTGTTAAGATCAAGATTATCCCCTGGAAGGTGAGAAGGGGATAATTGTTTTAAACAAAGTGGTCCAGAGGACCTCTTACCTAAAGGATAAATTAAATGGTCCTCCTTTCCCAGGCCTCCTAATCCGGTGGTACAGTAACAATTTGTAGCTCTTGGCATGCCGTCCTGGATCCCTGCTTTTTAGGACAACAGGAAGTTGTCAACAGGTATTATAATGGGAGTCCATCATTAGAAATACTTGTGCTATGTTTAGGGCACTAGGAGCTTGCAGAGAGCACTGTAACAGCCAGCCAGCATGAAAAGCAGTCAGCCTGGTGTGCATTCAGGCAGAATAGCCCCTTCCTCATGCAAACCCGGTCCTCACACTGTGTGGATCCACTTCTTCTGAGGATGCCAGTAACCCAGGTCCTTTAGGCCCACCCACAGCATTAAAAACCATTGCTAACTCTGAATCCTTATTGAGGAGACACCCGGAAATAAAGCTCATTCCTTCTACACATTCAGTAAAATTTAGTAGGCTGTAAATAAAGCTCTCCATAAAGTACGGTTTCCCGTTCACAAGTGTAGGGAGGAAGTGGTCTGAGATTACATCCTCTAAGTGCTGCCATGTATGAATTGAGGATTGTCCCTCACCACCTTTTTGCACTAGCAGATATCTGAAGTTCCACTGGGACTCCTGATAGGCCAGAGCCTCATTGGCTCTTGAAGCATTGAGTACAACATGGCATGGCACATGAGACAGAGGTTGCTGACCCCTGGGCTACATGCTGCTTTCCTGTTGTGGAATTCTTTAAACTGTGCAGTCATCTTATCTCTGATAGTATATCAGCCCCCTCTCTGTGTGTGGGGTTCTACAACCCATAGACCATCACTGGGCAGCAGGTTACATTGCAAAGATGACTTTGTGTTGTCACGAATCTTTGAGGTATAATTAAAATATACCTCAATTACTGTGAATTATAGATTTATTTTTAATCCAATTTGTGTACAGTTTTTAAATCTTTACAAAGGTCTGTAGAAAACAAAAACAACAAAACCATGACAATGCATTTAAAGTAAAATTGCTGAACATTCTGCAAATATACATTGGTCTACCTTTGACATGTGGCATAACCTTCTTGTCAATGACCTTTATTTTGTCTGTTTTTAATGTAGAAAGTTATTGGTGCTGGCAACAAAATAATCCTGTAATCGATCTAACTGACATGTTTATTGTGGATCGCTTTCAGTTATCACTGTATTTATTAGCTGGGTGTAAATATGCTTTGTGTACTGAAGTATGAAAACTAGCAGGTGAGACTTACAGTATACGTGAGCATTCAGGCATGTCCGTTCTACCCCAGTAACATTTCTGAATTATATATGGTTTCCCTAACATTGCTGACTTTGACTGATTCTATTTCTTTGAAAATTGTATACGTGACTATCCTGGGTGCTAGTAGACTGTGCCAATAAAAAGAGGCTTTATACAGGTAAGGCAATCAAGTTCCAAAAAGTCATCTCCATGTAAATCTTTTTGTCATGTGCATGAGCATTACGTTTGGCTGGTGACTATTGTTTGAAGTGCTTATTCTTTTTCACATGTATAATCAATAAAAAGCATAAATATTCTGCACAACACTACACCTGGATCTTTTCACATTATATGCGCAGGAAAAAGGAGTTTCTAAAACTGTTTCATTTTAGCAGTGAACCATTTACACAGCTGATCATTGCAGATAAGATCATACCTAGTACTTTTCCAATTGAGAGTCCATAAATCCAGAATCCATAACAAAAGGCCCAGAGCAAAGAGAAGAACACAGTTCATTCCCAGGGATCAACACAATGAAATGCTGACTGAGGAAGCTGTGAACACAGTGAAACATGTCTTGGCACTTTTATAAGGCTGGACTTTGGGCATCTTATATTATTTTATTGTTTTATACAGTATTGTTTGTGTATACTAACAAATTAATTTACTTAAGCACTGTTGCCAGCATTTTATATTGAGGGTCCAAGATAAAGGTGGAGAGGTGTCATTACACAATTTGGCACTATGTGAATTACTTTGGAACTACAGATTTACATAGGCTCCAGTTAAGGTGAGCAATAATATTTTTGTGCCATTGGATACTGTCCAGACATACTGCACTATTACATATCCCTGTGTTCTCTTGGGAGCGGAATATCAAGATCGAAGAAAGGTGGGGTGCTACCTGTAATGGCACAACTGAACATAGAGTGAGCCCATATTCCTACTGGCTCCACTCCATGTGAGTGTATCTTTCTATTTGGGTTGCCCCTAAGCCCCCCATCTTACCTATTTTTGCATCTTTATTTCGTGCCCGGTCATAGGTCCTGAGCGCTGCCATCTTTGTGTGGGTAGATGAAGTCCCTGTGGGACACGTCATCTGCCCACACTAGATAACGCTGTGAAATTCCCTTGTATACCCTTGGGCATGAGAATGGGAATTTCATCTATTCATTCGTCAGAAAGATGAATAAATGAATAGAAATTTCAAATGAATGAACAAAGACCTCTTTGTTCGTTCGTTTTGGTTTATTACAAGGAGGGAGCTATTAGCACGCAGCTCCCTCCTTGTAATATGTAAAAATAGAAGCGCCAGGGAGCAGTGCTCCCCACCACTTCCTAAGCCCCCCATGTCCTCACTCACTCTATGGGGGTCAATATGACCCCCATAATAGCAAAAGAGAGATTAAAATCACCCAAATGCCCCTACTCGCTATGCCGCGAGAAGGGGCATGTATACTGAACAGTGACCAATCCGTGGCTGTTCACTGTAAAAAGAAAAAAAGAAGAGCCCCCTAGTGTCCTCCCTCCCGAGCCCCGACCTGTGCCGCGTGACTGGGGGCTATTATACTGAAGGGGACCTAGTGTCCACCCCCAGCCCCACCCATGAGCAACCAATTAGTGTTATGAGTCAAATTACACAGCATGGGAAAAAATATAAGCGTTTCCACCACCCTGTGGGATCAGTCTGTGAGGTGCCCTTGCTGGGTGAAGATGGATTGCTATTTCCAAACCATTTTTTTATTCTTCAAAATTAACGAAAGTTACATTGTAACACTGATATCTGTTAGGAATCCCTGAATAACCCTTCACATATACAGTGGGACCTCGGTTTACAAATTTAATGCGTTCCCCAGGACGTTTCTTATTGCGAAAAATTTGTAAACCGAAATGCGGTTTCCCATAGAAATGCATTGAAAACCAATTAATCCGTTCTGGACGTCAGAAAAAAGTCAAAATGAGCTGGCATGGAAACCATCCCACAATACAGAACACACAATAAAATGCATGCAAACGATGAAGCTCAGCTCCCTACCTTTCCACAGCTTAAGCAATACACCAAAAAGTCCCAAAACAACGGCAAACAATTTCCAGAATGGTTCCAAAACTCGATGCAACACCTCCACACTCAACACCTCATGCTACCCACAGGACCCAGCATGCAAGGGGCGGTGCTATAAATTTCCCAGGTGCAATGCA